CGTGGATATACATGTTTAATGACTAAATTAGAATTAATTTCATAATTTATTATTTTATTCTAAATTAAAATAAATGTAATATTTGTTTTTCACTTAACATGTATGTTTATTTTTATTAACTATCTTAATTTTGCTGTTATTCAATGTGAATAACAAAATTCTTTTTGTTATTACTTATATCAATTGATTTCTGTGATAAAGAATTATAATTATTAAAAGAAAAAAAATGTTTAATAATCATTTTAAATACGACTATTAATTAGTAATTATTATTAGTTTTTCAATGACTAATGACTATAATTTAAATGTTTATGTTATACTATTTATTTTAATAAAACACGATCATTATAATAAAAATAAAAATACTATTTAGTATTTAGTATTTACCATAAACGCATTACACACATTTTCAGTTGTGCTTCTACGAGCGTGAAAGTAGGATGTAAATTAGTTTTCCCGACCAAAATGTAACTTTTTTTAGTTGCGTGTATTGCATTGTAGGTACAAATGGTACAATGGTAAATTATAATATATATATATTATATATACATATATAAAGTCGAGTAGGTACCTATTTGAATTTATCTGTTTTTTATGTGTTCAACAATTGAAATAAATTCACATACAACTGTAAAAATTTATTTATGAAATATACTGTATTAATTAGTTAGAGTGGCTCGAAATAACTTAAAAGGGAAACACTCAAACAATCATTAACTGTCGTTCCTTCTAATTTTGAGAGCTGATTGAAATAGTGTAAAGGACATATAATTGCCAATTGAAATAATATTGTACGTTGAAAATACAATAATAATGTGTTTTTTTACTTCGTAGTACAGGAATATTTTTAAACTTCTATTTAGAAGTCAACGTACAATCACTATCGGATTTCACTTGGAATATAATTAAACAAAGCGTTTTCCATTCTTTTGTCGGTGTAGATGAAAAAAATTCTAATCATGTTTCCTATATGCATTATTTTAACACAATTTATCGTGGTGTATCATAATAAAAAATAATGAATTATTAATTGTTATTGTGTTGGCCGCGTCAAATAAAAATAATAATAGTTAATACATTATTACAGTGTAACCACTCAATTTATGGGACGGTCACGCGATTGGCTGACAGCTATAGTTGTGTGCACAGTAGTATATTAATATTGTGCACACGTAAACATACAAAACCTGAAACCAAGTTAGTGCAGACCAAAACTGTCCCCCAGCGATTAATATAGCTTAATCAAAGTGTTTTACCAAACATGCTTTTAAAAGTATGTAATTATTATAAATATTTATTGGAAATCAAATAAAAAGTTCAATATATTAACTATTTTAATATTCATTGTAGTCATATTATAATATATAATTCGGTTGTATAACTTGTATATAAATTAAAGTTAAAAAAAAAAATACTATCATCAGTATTGAAGATACAACAAGTGGGTAAATAAAAAATGACAATTTAAACGAAAATAAACTTGATAGATATAATTACGTAATATAATTAAGATTTTACCTACGTGATGTAGAAATAAAATAATGAAAAATGCAATTCATAAAATAAATATATATATGAACAGAATCACGCGGTGACCACGGGGTAACATTTTAAATGTTGGAAAACAATTTATAATTCAGTATCGCTTTAATCAGTGGACCATTTCAAGCGAAATTGGTACTACGAAGGTTAATAAAATAAGTCACGATGCACGGAGTTCAAACACCGATATACATTCAAAACATTTCAAAGAACTTATTATATCACAATAAACGTAATAGGCATTAGGTATGTGATTGTGATTGTGATACTGACTAATAAACTGAATAACGTTACCATCACGATGAACTGTGTTATCAATTACAAAGTTATTTTGAATTGTATGCATTATTACATTAGTTAATTAAGTATTCATATTAAATGGCAAAACAAATAAATTAATTGAAAAAAAAAAATAATAACAATTTACACAAAACAATACTGTTGTGGATAATGGTACATATTTCTAGGGCAATTGATTCTTTTTGTACTTTAACAATATTATTAGACTTTGGAATTATAAAAAAAAAAAAAAAAATCTTCATGTAATATTTTGTATACAAAATAAATTACCTTCTTAGGTAAAAGATAAATCATCCCCAATAAAAAATATTAATGAATTATTATGTGCATCGGCATCTCTGATCTATTATTATTTTGATATTTTCTATTGTCATTCCTTCTGAAAAAAATTTTAATGAATTTAAATTATTAGGTTTCGTTTAAGTTTTTATCAAGATTTTATACTAATAATTAAATATTAAAAATATCTGCTGAAATTGTTAAAATAAGAATGTTGAACTATGTAATTTTTCTGAAATATAAACGAATATTATACAAATCAACAACAATCAAAATCGTTATGCTAAATATTTTATTAAAAAGGTTGGAATATATTGTACTATTTTAAATAAATCTTTTGATATTATATTGAAAGGTGTATAATGCATATATAATTATTCAAAGGAAATGATAAATCATCGTTAAAATATGGTGTTAAGTGAAGTTAGTTTAATACTTTAATTAAAGACAATAGGTTGACAATTTATTTGAAGAAAAAATGTATTCATTAAGTATTTTAATGAGAGTGACAGAGTGAGAATAAATTGCTGACAGTTAAAGATAAGACAAATATAATAAAATTTACAATCTTATATTAATTATTAATACACTGCAATATTGTTATCATTTTGATTAAAAATTAAACCTTATATTACATAATAAATAATATAGTAAATCCATTTTATTGTTAAGGTATAACAAAATGAACTATTTAAACTATAAATAATTAAATAATTTAAATAGTATAAGATACACAAAACACACAAGAGTAATTTAGTATACAAATAGGTGTAAGTCATTAAATATACATATTATATTAAATAAATTAAATAAAAAATTCTAATATTTTACCTTTTAAATCTTTAATCGTTATAGTAACAATATTAAAACAAAATTATAAAATAGATAATTATACGTATGAAAATTAAAATTTTAGTACGATTATTATTTTTAAAATATAAATTTTATAAGTCATTTCACTGTGTACAAGTCAAAAGTCTATTGATTTTGACATTATTTGTAAATAACTTAAGTTACGGTATGTTTTACTCTTTATGTCACATTTATTATTATTTAATTCAAGTACAATCCACGACGAGGTAAAATCACTAATTTAAGATGGCTGTGAGGTGTTAAATCAAAATAAATAATTTATAGAATCATGGAATGTTGGTGAAAAGATCTTCCCTCTGTTTAGCATTTTGTTAACAGCCTTTATTCGGATGTTTCTTCGATGAGATCGTATGAGGGTTGAATAATAATTTGGCCAAATGCGAATGGGTATTTTTTATGAAATTCAAAAGGAACGATATGGTGACAATAATAATAATGAACGGTTTTTTTACGAAAGAAAACATATGTTTATTTTTAATTCGTCTAAATAATAATAATGTTAATATTTAATAGATAAATGCATATTATATACATTCAGTTTATGGTTGTACTCGTAGGTATTAAATTACAATATGTTGTCATGTCGATAATACCGATATGATTAAAAAATATTTGAATATTTGAATATTATACTTTTATAATTTATAATAATACATACATTATATAATTATACATCGTTAAATTGTCAAAACCATAATTATAATAACGAAAATAAATGTATTTACAATAAGTTAAAAGTTTTAAATGCCATCTCATGGTATAGTTAAAACACTTTTGTTCCGTATTAATTACTAGTATAGTATAGTTTTTTTATAATTTTACTTACAATGCTAACAGTGAATAGTGATAATACTCATTCAATAATGACTTAAGACGTTGTAATCATTGATATAGCACATAATGTATATATACATAACAGCGTTGAGAACTAAAGTTCACTAAATACTTCGTTCATAATTTTCAGTTAAAAACTACTAATTTGGTGGACAATAAACTTGAATTTTTTTCATAAAGCTATAGAAATATTCGATCAAACATACGATGTACATTAATCGTTGATGGAAAATGTCGCGTTTTAAAAGAGCAAAATACTGCAGTTTATAATAATCGGTCAACTACGCAAAACAGTTGAATTGGACGTGATGGCATGATTTTTGTGATGCGATATGATGAATAATACTGAACACATGTAGATAGATACTATACCGCTGCAATTACTTTCTTCGGCTGTCGCCCATCATAATATTAAATATTTATTATTTTAATTTGTATAGCGAGAGCGAGTCATTTCTGAAAACCTATAACAGCAGTGTAATAGTCGCGCATTTAGTGGACAAAAAATATACACAAAGAATAATTACACACGACTTCAATGTTTAAATTGGTAAAAAAAGTAGATGGGAGATGCAAGCAAAAAAAATTGCATTCCCGAAAATTTAAATTTCTTAATGATTAGGATGTAATTAGTACAGGGGCACGCTAAAACAATTTTAAAACAGAAGGGGTGCCCAACTTCAACAGACTCCTCCACTTCATGTTACATTAATTTAACTAAGAGTTCACCGTCGGGTCGAGTATCGTAATATTATATAGGCACAGGAAAGCGCACTGATGTGGAGGCTGTGAAAGAGGGAGGAAATGAGGAGAGTGAAAGACAGAGATGTTTATCTCTGCTGCACTGAGTGAAGAAAACGCACGTCTATACTTAGAGGGAGAGAGAATAGAGACAGAGTGAGAGAGAAAATCGTATACGAGTATATAATACTTATATATATATAAGCATGTAAGTACACACATGTGATATACGTACATACACACGCACATATAAATATATATATATATATATATAACTCGTCGAAAAGTAATTTAAGGTGGAACCGTTTAGCTTTCAACAAGCGGCGGCGAAGTCGGCGGCAGACCCTACAAAAGGGTGGGGACGGCACGAGACGGCGCGGCGGAGAGGAGCGCACGCCCCGCGCACCCGTTCAGTAGCTGTTAAACTCGCATTACAGTCACGTTTATAGTCACCGGCCGACCGTACGTACGGACGTTATATACGCGCGCGCGTCCTCGTTCTCGTCCTCGCCATCGTCGTCGTCGTCGTCATAATAATAGTAACAGTGTGATATTCTCTCTCGCTCATCATTCGAGAGTGTTCACGTGGTATTATTGTCGTGTACAAATTTTTTTCTCATTCCATCGTTAGTTAATTTTTTTTTCGATCTCGAACCACGCAGCGTGTGTCCGGTCGTCTCTAGCACGACAGATTGTTCTTGATTTTTTCGACCGAGTGACGCGCATTGCGTTTCGTTTTCGTTTCACGGCCGCGACAAAAAGTGTTTCGACAATACAGTAATATAATAATTAATAATACATTGTACAGTGCGCTAAGGGTGGTTTTTCGTCGTCCGCGGGCGCCCGCGGTTGTGTGTCGTGCGCGTGAGATGCGTCGTCGTCGTCCGTCGTCGTTGTCGTCGTCATCGTCGTCATTTACGTCGTCCGTCGTCGTTATTCGCACCGGTGTGACGCGATCCGTGTGAAATGTTGATGATGATGGACTGCAGCAACAGGAAGCCGCCGGCGGACTTGTCATCCGGCGTTGTCGTAACGGCCGCATCGTCACCGGAGCTGGCGGTTGCTGGCACGTGGCACCCCCACGTGTATGGCAACCCCCCCAGGACGCCCACTGCTCACAACGTGGCCGACATACTCGGATGGACCAAGGCCGGCACGGACGAACAGCCCCTGAACCTGTCGACGGCCAAGCGGCCAAACGGCACCGTGCTTGACCTGACTAAGATCAAACGCAAAGGTAAGCCTTAGATTATCATGTAGTGTTGACAAAAAAGCGGGGACCTCGTCACATAGTTATCGCGTAGAGTCAAATGTTTACAAATTCGTATAGGTAACACGTTACCTAGGTACATATTAAACACGGTATACAGTACAACGCCGTAATGTATATACGTAAAACGACGCTTCGAACATTTATTTTAAAGATAGATCGTTCTTGGTACCACGGGTTACGCGTATTATTGGTAATACGCGGTAGTACGGTGCATATTGTGAATACCTTGATTGTATCTTTATTTCTGCATATGTACCATGGTCATGTCGTAGTTACCGACAACGTGGTTCAGTTGTATTATTATTTATGTAATGCGTTATATTAAAATATTATTTTATACTCTTGGAATTTTTTTCTAAAACGTTCTACTCTATCGTAGCGTCGTGACGGTGCTGTTTTTATTCTCAACACAAAACACTCCGTGCGCTGCGCATTCGTTCGTTGTTTTTATATTTTTCCCTTCGCCTTGACTACTGCAGTCTTGATTTTTCAATCTCACGCCGTTTTCGTCCGCGCGTATCAAATCACGACGAAAACGATGACGACAACGGGCCACGTCCTTCGATCGCAGAACAATTTACCAACGGATCATCACGGATTTAAGATAATGTCACAAGCGAAAAACGTTTCCAGCATTCGACCTCACTGCAGCGGCAGAAATCAATCTTCCGATCCAATTTTTTCTATCTTTCAGACGGAACACGGCTGATTTATTTCAAATCCATTATGATGTGCTCAAGTTTAATTATTATTATACCACGATTTAAACAGCTGAATTAGGTTTTTTTCTTTCGTCCGTAACTATAATTATTATGTAGTTATTCTATGAATTATATAGATAATCCAACGATACACTATACAGTCACATCTATCGATTCAACCGTTCATTGTATTTACGACAAATTATTTTTTTTCCGTCTCTCTAGACCGGGTGGTATTACATACATACACAAACTTGACAAACAACGTTAATTATCTTCGTGCTGTGTACGATAAACAATAATATAGTTGCAGTTTTTTTCTTCCGTTTCGAATCGTTTTAAATAGTATACTTGATTGCACAATAAAAATTCTATTTGGAAACGATATGGTATGCGTTTATATTGTTGTATTAATACTTAGGTCTATCTGAGTGTGTGCGTGTGTGTGTGTGTGTGTGTTTTTGATATTAAGGTGTAATTCTGTTGACGTCTTAATAATACGTCGTTTACGCACGACGGGAGTGCAGCGGCGTCATTTCAGGTGCAGTGCAGGCGCCAATAACGAGAATTAAATATAAATAAAACCTGTACGAGGCTATAAGCGCATTACTATAATAATAGTAGTAGTAGTGTGTAAGCCTATTATGAGTAAACCGTATATTGCACTACTTGCTATCCTCTGATAAACGCTTTTTATTTAAACTAACATTTTTTGTGTAAAAGAAATACAAATACAAATACAAATTTTCAAAAAAAATGTCATAGGTTCTCGACGGAAATGTCGTGCATAGATCCGGTGTAACGAATAATCTACAACATAATTTGTATCGTATGGGATGGACGCGTGTGGTTCGAATGTCTAGAAAATAATAAATAACTGTCAACCGTTTTGCAGCGAAGTGACAAGTTTCTGCGAGCACGCGGTATAGTATGACGTGGCGGGGTAAACGTTGCGTTATATCCCATCCCATCATCCTCGAGCATGGTGACTATAGGTCCGTCAGTAGCGGCAGCAACGGCCGGTGTAGTATAATCGATCGGTGTAATTCCCCTCGTCCTCTCACTACTATAATTGAACGCCAAGCCGTATATAATTGATAATCGCCCGGCTTGTTTGCGTATATCGAGTTCGTGATGCGCGTTATGTATATAGGTATCTCGCCCGATACGATTGCGCTGTGTATTACCAATATGTAGGATGATTAACCAAGTATATTCACCTACTTTTTCCTTATCCAATAATGCAGTTATTCAAAATCTGATTTTAGGAACTTTTCAATTTACTTAAAGATCACATTTTAAAATCCTTAATATTTTTGTAATATCTACTTGGGAAGTGTCCTGTAGAGGTATGAACTTCTGTTTTTCAAACGAGAACCTCCCCTTTTTACAGTAAATTATTTAGTTTGGATTATTTTACTGAATATGCTGATGCATCAAAATCAAAATTTGAACTATGGTAGTTATTAAGTCATTCAACTTTTTGTATTAAGGATAATATAGTTCTAAGATAATAGATTTGGAAGAAATGGTTGCTGTATTGATTTTTAAGATTTTAGTAATTAGTATTAATATTTATAATTTCATAAATTATAATTTCAATACATTTATTACTTTAGAAAAAATGAGGGTGAGTTAATATAATATGCTTAGTGATCACTCTATATATATATTTACACAAACATCATAATCCACCCCGTAGTCGTCGGGATCTATATAACACAAGAAATAATATTTTTTTAAGGCAAAGTAACGCCTATTTTCTCAATCGGTTCGCGGAGCTCAAAATTCTGAAATTGTTATTCAATATTTTTTTTTTATCGCTATAACATCATACGCCTAAGATAAAAAATCTATTTTTAATTGAAAAAAAAAACATGTTTATTTTATGTACGAAGAAGAGAAATTCGAAGAAACGCCAAAACATCAATAAATAATTTTACACCGGTTTTTAACAGTCGCAATTTAAATAATACCAATAATATATGGTATATAATATTATATTGTAAATTTATTATGCGTATGTGTGGTACGCATGAAGTGTATAGACGTAACTATAACTAGACCTTAAATTTTAGAGATGCTAAAATTAGGTACCTATACAAATTATTTTATATTTTTATTCATAATATTTATAATGATAATTAGGTAATCAAATAAAATATTAATAGTTTATACAACTATATCTATGTATTAAAGCAATTCTCCTGTCATCAGTTGTAAATGTATTTATTATATCTTTAGTTTTTAATCGATCTTTTTCAATATTAAGCAGTACATTAACTTTGAAAATTGTTCTTATGATGTCATGTTAGTTATTAGCAAATTTTTTATTTGTCGTATCATAGAAATTAATACACTTAAATAGTACATAATATTATAATAATAGTCAAGTTATTTAAAGACAATAAAATAGTTTAGGGCGTTAAACATCCCATTACTCTCATAAAGTTGCGTCTATAGTTTTGTGGTAATGATTTTAAATTTTGGATGATATCAAAAAATGTGAAATTCACAATTTTTAAATTCTAATTTAATAGCATAATTTTCTATTAGATTACTGTCGAAAAACAACATTGATATATTAAATATTATTATCAAATTGATTTACCCGTGAAATAATTATAGTGATAATACAAAATGTTGGGACACACAATATAATGTGTATTATTTCGTGATTTCTATATTTTAATATCACTGTACATTTACGTTATATAGATATATATACCGGGAAATCGGAAATGTGTTTCAAAATAATTCTTACTATAATAGTAATTTGAGATTTCTTGCATAAAATATAATATAGTTTAAATACGTAAGTACCTACCTACAATTTACATAATACAAATGTCACGATGTAAACTATCTTGTTAAACTATTATGTATATTAATATTATTATGTTGAACGCCACGGTATTTCGCACTCGTTGATTTCTTTTTCTTTCATTTTTTTTCAAATATTTTTTACGGTTTTGAATCAATGAATATACTATGCCCGCGCTGTAGTTGCGTGTTTAATAAACGTTTTGGAAAGCAAATACGATGAGGACTAATTATTATTATCGTACAGTTTTTTCGCATGATTCATTAAAACATTTGATCGTCGTCCGCATAAAATATAATTATATTATTTAGGGACACTAGGAAACTCGCGTTCTGCTTTATGCATAGCCCGGCCAACCCACACACAATTATAATTATTAATCTTCTTTTTTTTCGATAACCAAAGTAGTATAGTGTTTATTCTCATTTAAATGTATACATAACAATAAATTAATATTTTATTTAATATCGATAATTCAAAACTCAGTTTCCTAGTATTTGTTACTTTTCATTAAAATTAAATTTTAAATCATATACACAGCACCATTACAATATTATGTTCGTATCAAACCTAGTTAATTTATATTATATGTACATACAAAATGTTTTTACTCGAAAGTCACGTTTGGAAAATGAGTCACATTTAATGATCGTAATTTTAATTTTAATTTTTTTTTTTATATCCGTGCAATGCAATTTGCGTGTATACTAAACATTAAAACATGGACGTTTTTCGACGAATTAGACCATGTGATATTCTTAGTTTTTTTCTGTGGAAACATATTTGTGTCATATATTTAATGAATTCTATTATGACATATGAACTACATATTTGTCATATTTATAATATTATAACATATCATCATTCATCAACCCACGCATTGTCTTTCGACGTTGTAGTACACGTTGCGTTCACTATCGGCCAGAACAACCGTATATCTTGTTAAATGTTTGCAGTCGTACATATCATATATTATATACACAAACATAGTTTTGTATAAAACGTTTGGTTTTATTTTTTCGCACCGACAGCAATTGAAATCGATTACTTCAAAGAGTCTGGAAGGGGAATACAATATAGAGGGGACGGGGTCTCGACGAGAATCAATAATATAATATAAAGTCGTTATAATACGCAAAACAAAGAGTATACCCGCGCGTCATTTATATATATATATATATATTGGTGCAAAGGCGCGCGCGTAATCGGCGGTGGCGGTCGGTTGTCGAATAATAATATAATAATGTTCGGGCCGGGCCACTGAGAGAGAGAGAGAGAGAAAGAGATGATATTATTGGCGAGCAAAGGTTAGTGAATATTATTGTTATATTATTGTTCGCGTCAAAGTTTCGTTTTGTAGGTGCCGCCGTAGTCGAACATTTTGCACCGTCATATTATTATTATTTTATTCTTCACTGTGCGTAATATGAAAACAAATA